ATAATGATTATGATTATTTTATTCAGCAATCTCTTTGATCGTATGCTTCAAAAATTTAAGATACAACGTTCTCGTGATACAAAATATCCACCCGAACTCCTCTCAATGGTATTTTTTTCCTATATTCGATATTCCTGATTAAGTTGTAATCATTTTTTCAAAACTATTAATCTTAAATTGAAATTTAAAAAAAAAGAAGAAGAAAAGCTATTTTTTTTGTCCCTTGACGATATTTTACGAATTTTTTTTAAAGCTTACATTGGATTTAAGAAAAGTGTAATATCATTTTCCATTCAATAATATATTGAAAAAAATTGATCGATTTTTTGAATCAATCAATATATACGTCTTTTAATATTACACATATTTTGGTTTTTCTTTTTGGTATATTTTAACAATGAAGAGTTTGATAATATATCTATCATAAACATTATATATAGATGGAATTGTTACCAATGATACATGATGTCGCATGTGAGTTAATGAGTTGCTCAAATGCAATATCTCGGCGATTTCAACTTAAAGATGAAACAACCACAGCAAGCGAGAAACTTGCTTTATCAATCAAAATCCTTATGCCAAAAGTTGCTGACCACGAGGAAGTAACAATTTAATTTTTATCTAATATGAACTTTTACCTAATTTTCATGCTCAAAAAAATATCAACAATGAACGATGTATTAGAAAATTTGAAAATTCAGATGCTGTATGATATTGCAGATGATTTATGAATTGATTGTACAAAAGAAATTCATGATATGTCAGTTATTAAACATCGATTTTTGTTTTCTGATCTAATAAGTTATTAATTAGTAATCGATTAGTGAACATGAATTAATTAATCAATTAATCTATTATTTGCTAAACAACCAGTTACTAGCTTTGTTCATTTGATCAGCTAATTGATAATTATTTCTTGCAGTATGCAAATTTTTTGAAAAGTCAAAGTGAAATGTATGATACAATCGGTAATATACAGCGGACAATGTATACCGAAATTCAGGATAGAGTATGAATTTAAAAATATCAAATGAGCATTTATCTCTTTTAAATTATATTTATATGATCATGAAAAAAAAATGATACAAATTGAGTGTTTTAATTTTGCTATGGCTAGCAAAGCATTAATTTTAAAATTTTCACTAAATTCTGTAAAGTTTTAATTAAATTTAGTGCTTCCACAAAAAACCTTTTATAAATTTTCTCCTAAATTTTTTCAGAGCTTACTTTTTATTTACAACTAATCATAGCATTATCAAATGCTTCGTTGATAAATGAAATTATTTAGGTGACAAATCGACTAAAAAGTTGGGTTATGTGCGATTATGAGCGTATCATAAATTCAATTGCAGTATTAAATGAGAAGCGATGGCAAATGGATATGATAGCAGCGGAAGTTGAAAAGAGTAGTCCAAAGTATATTTATTTCATTTTTTTTTAAAGAATAAACAAAAGGAAATTCTATTTTATTTATTTTCAAAAAATTAATAGGTAGATAAATGTATTTTAAAAAAAAATTTAAAATAAAATTTTGTTTCAAGATAAATTTCATGAATCCCATGAATTGAAATATTAATTTATTTGTTACGTAGCTTATTTATTTATTCCTTGTAAATAAATAAAATTGAAAATAATTTCTCTTTTTTGATTCAAAGCAATTATTAGACAAAATGATTTGATGCTATTTTAAATCATTTGATACTTACAATATTCCGTATAATACTTTTCATAACATTTTAGAGATAAAAAAGCTGAAACAGCTAAAAATTTCAAATTGGAACAATCACGCAAAGATTATGAGATGCAGTTAGCTTTGGTTAAAGTAAGACATTTTTGCTTAAATTTTATTTTTAACAATTTTTTTTACCACTTATTTTCATTTAACAATTTCATGCAAATAGCACTCAGATGAGTACAACAACAAAAACATTTCATTAATATAACACAAAGTTTGGTTATGTTATGAAAACATTTGACACGTATTTCATCAAAGTTTTAAATTTCAATGTAGCTTAACTTCATTCTTTTTTGAGGCTGATTTGCGCAAAATTCCAACAATTCTAATCGACCAAGCAATTTGTTTAAAGCATTTCAACGAATTGATGTCCGATTATCATAAGCAAATGGAAGAAGTGCTGAAAAAATTCGGTGCTGAAAAAATTTAAATTATTTTTAGATGCGTCCATTTCTAATTTGATGCAAAATTAAATTTTTATTTTATTTTCATCGCTATTGCAAATGATTGTAAAGAAAAACGGAGTGATCATAGATGAGAAATGTAAAAAATAACTTAATGAATAACAATAATGTGAAAATCTTTTTCGCTATAATTCAGCATTACGTATTCAATTATTGAATGATTATTTAAAAAGTTTGAATTTACAATTTGCTAACTTAAAAGTTAAAAGTGAAATCAAAAGTGATAGCGAAGAGAAAAATTAAAAGAAATAAACGATAAAAATAAATTTTACGAATCATCTATCCATCACTGTTTCAAAATCGTAATATATTGAATGTAACGTTTTCTTTTGCTACTCAAAATTATTATTAAAACAAAAGCAAATCAATAATAATTATCACTTCATTTCGATTATATTTCATTTTGATCACATAAATGATAAATGTAAAAATGAAATTTAGATTGTTTCAATAAGAAAAATAATAAATTCCTATTGATAATGATTTTTTGGACAAAAACGAATGATATATCAATAAGAATAATTCGAATTCTTCTAATCTATTTCTGCATCATTTTACAATCCGTTTCAAAATAATCAATCTAAACATCTTTAGAAATATATTAATTCAAATAAAAGAAGAAAGAGAGGATCATTAAACAAGATATCATTATTAACCGCAAATATATCGTTCCTTTAGAAATTTATTTCGTATTTAAACAATGAATTACTCTTCTGTACCAATTTTTTAGAATTAAATAGAATACATTATTCGTTTTTTAAAGGTATAAATTAAATTTATGAAGACTTTTTAAACATACAATTTTTTCTTCAAATTCATTGCTGTTTTTCAAAAAAATAGTCATTTCAACATATATTTTTATCATTTAGTATAAATTTTCCATAAAATTCCAAAAATAAATTAATATTTAATTTAAATATTTGGCGGCATCATACTAAGAATAAAGTAATGATCAAATCAGTAATTTACAATTAAATTAAAAAAAAAAAAGGTTTTTTAATCAATAAATTATCTGATGAATTTATCTCTCATAGCAATCTTTTTCGGAAATATTGTTGACAATTTGACGGCCATTTCCATCGATTTTGAAAATACTGCGGTGGTGGCGCATCTTCTTCCAAGTATGGTACCATAAAAGCCCAAATTGATTGCTTTAAAGGAATTTGATCGAAATCACCTTGATGATAACAATGCTGCAATCAAATAACCAATTATTATATTATTTTAATATTTAAAAAATACAAGAAAATCAATACATCATTATATGGTCAATAATTGGAGCTGAAATCAGATAAAGCAAATATTTCACAAAATAAGAATTGCTAAACATATGAAATGCTATTTATAAATAAAGCAATAAACAATACTGATAATGAATGATAAGTCCAAAAAATTCGTGTTGTAAGATAATAAGCCAGTACAACATCAATTGTATAATGTTTCCTGGCCAATAAAATGCAAGGGACAGCTATAAATGTGGCACAATAGCACAATTGAGCCAAACAATAAAGTTTCTTGGGGCAATATTGTTTTAGAGCCAATGCGACCATAAATAATGATATAGTATGTCCGGATACGATTAAATCGCCACAAAGTTCTCTGTAAAAGTAAGTAATCGTAAATTTGGAAGTTATCCGGAATTTATTGAAAAATTCATAAAATGCATCGCCCAATTTAATATTTAATGATTTGAAAAATAATCACATAAATAATGATTATGCATGTTTAAATACGTATTTTTTCCAAAATTTTTAATTAGCAAATTTTAAGCGATAAGTATTTGTTGAAATTTTTGAACATTTTGATGGAAGTAATTGTTAAATTAATTCTTAAATAGATTATCGTTTGATTGTTTTTTTCACAAAAGGAAAAATAATTTGTTTTAAAATGAATACAATTGGAGTGAAAATTTTGAATGAAAGGAGAAAAAGAAGGAAATGAGTATTTAATTAACCGTGAACGGAGTTGTTCAATTCCAGCAGACCAAAATGTTTTTAACATGCGACTAATAATTACATTCAAGCTACCATTACTTTTTGGTGCACAATATGTTTTCTCACTTGGTACCGGTACCTATAAATGAATACAATTTCAATTTTACGAATAACAATTCCAAATATAGGATTTGTAGGAAAAGTGAGATGAGAAGAAACTTTTCTCATCAATTTTCAAACATTGACAAACACTAAGCAACGAAAACTGCGGAATAATATCGGAATTAAAAATCTGATATAGTTGATTAAAACTTTTTTCTCATTACGTTTTTTGCATCGTTTCATTATTGATACCAAAATACTTTTACCATCAGGATTTAGTTTTTAACTATAAGCTTATCGGGAATAACAGCAACACCGACAAGCTAAATAATGATATTATTTAAGTGATGATAATAATGAGTATCGATAATAATACACGCAGGAGTGGAAAAAAAAATCGCGATTATCTTTTTCAAAAATTTTGAAAATTTTTCAAAAAATTTAATTGCTAAAATTTTTTCCATGCAATTAATTCATAAATTTGTTTGTCCAGAAAAATAAATAAGTAAATGAAACTAAAAGGCAAGATTTATTCATTGATAATTAAATGCCTCATTTGCATGGCTTTACTAAATATTTTCGATTAAGATTTCCAGGATATTATTTGTTCGAATTATAAATCAGAAATAGAAACAAGCAATGTTGCACACATCTGTCTATATTTTTTCCCTTTTTTTCACTTCATTTTTTTCAAAAACCAAAAAAATCAGAATGAAAAAAAAAAATTCAAATAATAATACTGACATAACCGGAATACATTTTCTTCTTATTTTCCACTTCACACTAATAATTATTAAGAATGAAATCAAAATTTCAATAGATCAGAAATTATTTCACTTGTTCATTGCTTATATTTATAACGTTCTGATGATTATCTCAGAAAAATTTAACAATTTCTTCCTATTCTTTGATCTAATTTCATTTTTATATCTTTTTCTTTTTTTTTCTAGAAATATTACAAACATTTTGAGAGAATCATATAATACTTGATTACTCTAAATTTGTACTTATGAAAATAAAACAGATTGAAATTTTACAATTTTGTAAGTGTTGGAATTTAAGAAGGAAAAAAAAGCGTAATCGGTAGAAAATGTCAAAATAATGTAATTTTATAAGTCTTGAAATTTGCGAAAAAAAAAACGGTATAATTGATAGAAAAGATCAGAAAATTTTACAATTTTATAAGTGTCAAATTTTGGGAAAGAAAAAAATGTAACCAGTAAAAAAAGATGAAAATTTTATAATTTAATAAATATTGAAATTTAAAAATGAAAAAAAGCAAAACATAACCTGAAATATAACAATGCAAAAAGCGCGAAAAGTATAGCACACGGCGGCGCAAAAGAAAACCCTTCGAATTACAATCCATCGATATTGGTGACAAAACATCACAATGAACAGTGTCACCAATAGAGCGATCATTATTAATTCTGTTATTAATATTGAATTTGTTATCTGTAAACAAAAAAAAAAAAGAAAAGGAGATTATTTTTATTGCGAAAATAAAAGTCAACAACTTTTAATTTAATAATTCAATAAAAATAACAATTCAAATAGTGAAAGGTTGGAAAGACCTGATATTCGGTGATGTAACCATCCTAACATTTAAATATTTTGTTTTATTTAATGAAAAAAATTTAATAAGAAACGGGCTGAAATAACATTCGAATTAAAATGCTACATTTAAATTTTAATGATACTAAAATTCTTCAACAAATTTCTTACCTCTGGAAATAAGCTAAACCACAAATCTGGCAATGGACGTATGCCATCACGTGGTATGCGATCATGTGCCCATGCTAATGCTAATTCATTTGCTAACCATGCTAAAGCCTAAAAATTACATTTATAAAAAAAATTCAATTCGAATGAATAAATCGATCAAAGTCGGAATGAGTGAATCGTAATTCATAAAATTTTTAAAATTAAAAAAACAAAAACTTCAATTTAGTCAGCCATTGTTCGATCTTTTTTTTTTAGAAAAAAATACAGAATTATGATTTAATCTTCAGATATATTTGAATGGCAAATTATGGCAAAATCTGTGGAAAGTTTTAAAATATTGGATTTATGTTTTTCAATTTAATCTTTCTAATGCTAAATCCGAAATCAATACTGCTAGTATCCTGCAAAACACTGATAAAAGAAAAATTCAAAATTATGAAGCATTTTATCCTTCTTTAAATTCGTTTATTTAATCCTAAAAAATTTTAAATTATATTAAAATGTGAAACAAATTTCCCAAGAAACAAATATGCAATTGTGTTATAAATTATTTTCCTGTGCAGTTATCCACTACGTTAATATAATTTAAAGTCTGAAATGAATATAATTGATTTTTTCTTCAATCGAAGCTCAAAAAATCAGTTCATTCAAAGTTGAAAAGTTTGAAAAAAGATCAAATAAGCATTGATCTTTTATTCAATTCGAATAATTTTCCATATGAATATTTAACACAAAATTTTTTTTTCGATGAAAATTCCTTTTTTTAGCAAATTAAAAATGTGAGGAAAAAGAATACAGCAGAATTTTAGATGAAAAAGATGAAGGTTTAGCTAAAACTTACCAAGAAAAAAGTTGTAAGAAATGTTGGACCACGTCTTGATTTAAATACCTTATCAGTTCGAACATCATTAGGTGTTATCGTTATTCTGCGCATTTAATTGTTATTTCTTCCAAACAAATAATGCAGCAAATTATGTATGAAGCAAAAATACAAAATTAATTTCTTTCCTTTCACAAATAATTGTTTAATCAATACTGATGTGGAAAAGTTTCGCTTCTTTTTTTTATTTGCTCGTTGCAATAATGAATGCAAGATTTTTTATTTATCGAAATTTTCTGAAAAAAAAGTAAAAAAAGAAAGAAAAAAATTATTTGACATGTAATTTTATTAGACTAAAATTTCATAAAAATTAAAAGCTTGAAATTGATTAAAAATTTTTAAATTATGCTATAATGGAAAGTCGAAAATTCAGTTTGAAATTTTAAAAAAATTTTCAACCATATTTATCGGTAAATCATGTTTTTTTTTAACGATAAACATTTGGATGAACTATAGAGATAAATTGAAGAAAATTGTTTGAGTTTTTGAATAATTAACGCTCAGTTAATTATATTTGAAAACAGTTGTATGAATACAAAGATCACTTAAATGATAGTACATTGGTTTAATTAATGAGATTAATAAAAATTAGCATTTTAAAATATTATCAGCAATGAGTGATTGCTGATAAAAAATTGTCATTAATAATGTTGAAAAAATTATCAAATATAAAAAAATATGAGCGATTACAACTAATAAATTAGTTAAAAATTATAAAACAAAAATATTCGATGAAAAATCAAAAATATTCGACGAAAACAAACTTCTAGAAAAAAAGAAAAACAATCCATGAATATATCATGAAAATTTGAAGAAATTGTTGAAAATATGAGCATTAGTTTAATAAATAAAAATATATCGAAAATTTTTGAGAAACGATGAAATTCAATTTCAATTCAATTTCGCTTCTTTTTGCCTTAATCATATCACATTTTTTTCTAAATTCACTATTATGGTTCACTGAAATATTGTAAATTACAAATAATTTTGAATTACATGAAAAAAGAAATGAAATGAAATAAATATGGTCAATTTTGTCTATATAATTTCCTCACTTATTATTTCAAGCATGAAAAATATAATTGCATGTATAAACTTCTTTTTTTCAATTTAATTTTCACAAATACGGAGTTTTTTATCCCTTTCCTCTCTCTCTCTCTCTCTCCCTCTCTTTCTCTCTTCTTTCTTTTAGTATTTGTATTAATCTAATATGATATATGTATATCATAATATAAAATGAAAAGTAAAATTTAGCAAAAGTATTAACAGAATTCTATCTACCTGTTAAATTAAATTTCAAATTGAGTATCAATAAAAATGAGTCAATCGCTAAAATAGAGGATGTAAAAAAATAAATAAATAAAAATAAGTTAATCAGTAAAGCAGAGGATGAAAATTGATCACTATCTTTAATATTATCTTACACGATAATATTAAAGATGAAGATCAATTTTCAGTTTTTTTTTTTAAACTTTAAAACTTTATTAGTGCAAAATTTTACTTTTCAAATTGAATTTTCACAGCACATAATTTAACAAACTATTTATTTCAAATTTACAAATTAAAAATATTTTATTTAAAAATTTAATATAAAAAGATGAAAAACTGAAATGGGATGGGTAAGAGGAAAGTAAAATGATGATAATAGCCTATGAAGATTTAAAACTATTCATTTTTTTTCTTTTTCTCCTTCAACGAAATATTCATGATGTATTATATCTTCATTTCATTTTCTCATTTTAAAAATCTTCCATGTAAGTATGATATGAAATTTATTTTTGAAGTAGTAATTCTAATGCTACTTTCTCAAGTTGTCACCATAGATACAAAAAGGGTAAAATTAATTGAGTCGTTAATCAGTGCAACTTGGCATTTTCAAATATTACATATCATTTTATCATTTAGTGGTTCATTAACTTTTCTAAATTGCCTATCTAACTTTCTTTTATTGGTTAGTTAGCGAAGCCATATAATAAGCTAAGTGAAATCAGAGAAATTTCGCGGAAAACTATAATTCATATAATTATGGTATGCATCTCGCAGTTATTTTGCATGATTTAAAAATTAATTGGATAGCAAACTGCTTCTCATAAAAAGAAAGGATCAATTTGAGAGAAAAGATTAAGTAATATCAAGATGTTTTGAAATACTTGAATTTGGAATTTAATTCAAAATTCAATAAAATTTTCAAAAATTCAAGCGTTGAATGAAATGGAAAAAAATAAAATGAAATTTGGAAATTTATTGATTTGGGGATGAAATGAGACCATTACAAATGAATGGTATCACATTATCAAACAACCATCACAATTTTTTTTTCATTTTAGAATGATCAAATAGGACCACAATACTGCAACAATTTCAATTAAATGAAAACCAAAGATTGGAGAATAAAGTAATTCAAATTGAATTAACAGATGTAAATATTGATGCTGTTATAGTTCAAAAATTTAATTATCTTTTAATCTACGTTTTCCCTATTCATTCTTACTTTTAAAAAAAGTGTTTTAATAGCCCAAGACAAAGTATTCAAACGTCTTTTCCATTACTTTTTCCAACAATATCTATGATAGCAAAAATCATTTCACACAGACAAAGTAAACAAACTTTATGCTAGCAATATTTTGATGATCGAAGATTACAATCCTACATGGCAAAACCATAAAAAATTCAACCAAGTATTTTTGAAAGCAATTGTAGATTGGTTGGTGTTGATTCACAGACAAATTATTTGTTAAGATTTATTTTGTGGTTCGGAATTTTATCCAAATAATTTTAGCATCAATAGATGAAATGAATAGCAGATTATATGACGATAATTGCTAGCAGGGGCGAATAATCGTATGAATGTTGAAAAATGTGAAAGGGGGCAAAAGGAGAGTCTCGATCCGACTATTCGACTGTTTATATATCCAGTATTGGACGGTATCATGATAAGCGGTAATGAGCTTGATAGTTAACCGCAAGGTCAGACAGTGTCATGTTGGGGAAGGAAGAAGCAATGGTGAAAAAGAGGATTGTATGATTACTTGTTAGCTACATTGGTTTCACGTAAAGGACAAAAAACAATCAAAGGACAAATGCGTAGTAAAGCTATCTCTCTCAATGATATTATAGCAACACAAAAAGGTCATATGACAAGAAAGAAATTTTTACAATGACAAAATTGTGAAACGCTGCTTTTTCAGCCTAATTATCGATGATATAATTCACAATCCTTGTGAATAATTTTATCACAAAATTTCGGATTTTCCGATAAGTACTAATGACAACGTTACTTTTTATTGTGGTGGAGATCACACATAATGATAGATATTAATGACGGTAATTTTTGGTATCGTATCGGAATGGATTTTTTGATAGCACTATCATGTCGGGATGATGAAAGAAAAATTGATTGTGCTATCAATCCTTGACATTTCATTTGCAACATTAATTATTATGTCAAATTCCGGTGCAGTGTTGCAGAATGTCTAGTAATTTTATCATAAATGATAGAAGAATCCCTTAAAAGGAACTGATACCAATTTGCGGTAAAGGTTAGTCAGGACCTGGATCGATCTATCAACCACAATTGTTACAGGTTTTGCTATATCATAATTTTCCGTAATTGTACGACGAGAAAAGTAAGATTAATTGCAGATGGTGCTATAAAATACTTCGGTGACATTATGCAGAAAGTATTGCAGCCGATGCTCAGTCTTTAATGATTAGTTTACCTTTTGCAGGTGCTAACGAAAGTGCGTGCAGGTAAAATTATCATGCACAGTAGGACATAATAAAACTTAACAAAGAATGAAATTTCTTAGCGTAATGGAAAAAAAGTTCAGTTAGCCGTTATTTTTAAAATAAAAATTCAAAATCAAAATTACAGATTTGATGGTAGATTAAATTCGTTAAAAAAGTATTGAATACTTAAATATAAAGTGTCAAAAATGGAACTACAGAATTAATGGTACCTCCTATTGGATGACCAAAATAGAGTAATACAAAAATGACCATTGAATTCAATATGAATAAACAGACCGATTAGTTTCTGGATAGGATAGATTGATCACTGAGAGCAACTTGTAAACAAATTCAAATATATCGAGAAAAATATCCTGAAATAGATGTAAATGAATAATTTTTAATAGATTATAAAGAGTTTATTATAGGTAAGATATTCTCCGATCATTGAATTTAATGAATTCAAAGAAAAAAAAAGAGGCAATTAAAAAGAAAGAGAAATATGCAAATAATATATACGGGAGAATGAATGGAAAAAGTAATCAGGTGTAAAGTAACAGAAAAGGTCACAACAGATTGTAATCATATAAAGGTCAAGAAAAAAAGGAATTTTACGAAAAGATGTGAATCAAAAATTATTGATTAATGTGTGAACAGAATCGATAATTTGTAAGGAAAGAAATGGAAAGGAAAAGAAAGGAGAGGAAAAAAAGGGTAAAAGTAAATAGACGAAGACATTTGAGGAATCAGTTGAACAAATTTACAATTGAATTAAGAAAGATTTTAAAATTAAAATAATTACATACATCAGGGAGGAGAGACAGAAGGAGAGAGAGAGAGAGAGAGAGAGATAGTGAAAAGGAAGCGAAAAAACGACAATATTTCATAATATGGTACTTCAAAGAAATATTTCTGTACTTTCTTAATTTCATTAAATTATTAGGAATGAGATTTGAAAATGAAATTCTTTTTTTTTTCTACACAACTAATAATTTATAGAAAAATAATATAGTGTATGATTTAATGATTTTGTATTTGTTAATCGAATTTTAATGAAAATTTGATTAATAAATAAATTAAAGCGGTAATTGAAAGTTATTTATCACATACTTGTAGCTAAATCGATCATAACTGACGAGAATTAATTACTGAAGCAAATATATTACAGATAAAGAAATAATAATAATTCAGAAGAGTAAAGTTGAAAGTAGTAAAGTGAAAAAATAAATACATGTGACGAATACATTGAAAAAAAATTGAAAAAACGATAATTAGTTCGGAAAAGAAAAATGATTATAATTTTTGGCAAATATTTGCAAATTATT